GGCTGGCACATGCCCATGCCCATGACTTGGGCTCAGGCTACGGGCAGTTGGGTTGCAGTGACGTGCCGCTGTAGCCCTGCTGGTCCGGACGAGCGCTCACCCCACCGGACACTGGCCCAATGAGGGGAGCGCTCCCCCACCGGCAGTCTGACCAACAGGCTCAGGCAGGAGCCAGGGATTTGCCTGCACCCTGGGGTCACAGAACTCAGGATTCAGACAGCTCCATTGCAATTACAGAGTCCCTGGGCTCAAGCCCAATGACGTGCCGCTGTAGCCCTGCTGGTCCGGACGAGCGCTCACCCCACCGGACACTGGCCCAATGAGGGGAGCGCTCCCCCACCGGCAGTCTGACCAACAGGCTCAGGCAGGAGCCAGGGATTTGCCTGCACCCTGGGGTCACAGAACTCAGGATTCAGACAGCTCCATTGCAATTACAGAGTCCCTGGGCTCAAGCCCAAGGCAGCGGGTACGGGCCGGCTCCGGGTGTCCAGGTGCAGTGCAGCCAGCCTGTAGGCACACGGGTACGGGCCGGCTCTGGGTGTCCAGGTGCAGTGCAGACAGCCTGTAGGCACACGGGTACGGGCTGGCTCCGGGTGTCCAAGTGCAGTGTAGACAGCCTGTAGGCCCACGGATACGGGCCGGCTCCGGGTGTCCAGGTGCAGTGCAGCCAGCCTGTAGGCACACGGGTACGGGCCGGCTCTGGGTGTCCAGGTGCAGTGCAGACAGCCTGTAGGCACACGGGTACGGGCTGGCTCCGGGTGTCCAAGTGCAGTGTAGACAGCCTGTAGGCCCACGGATACGGGCCGGCTCCGGGTGTCCAGGTGCAGTGCAGCCAGCCTGTAGGCACACGGGTACGGGCCGGCTCTGGGTGTCCAGGTGCAGTGCAGACAGCCTGTAGGCACACGGGTACGGGCTGGCTCCGGGTGTCCAAGTGCAGTGTAGACAGCCTGTAGGCCCACGGATACGGGCCGGCTCCGGGTGTCCAGGTGCAGTGCAGCCAGCCTGTAGGCACACGGGTACGGGCCGGCTCTGGGTGTCCAGGTGCAGTGCAGACAGCCTGTAGGCACACGGGTACGGGCTGGCTCCGGGTGTCCAAGTGCAGTGTAGACAGCCTGTAGGCCCACGGATACGGGCCGGCTCCGGGTGTCCAGGTGCAGTGCAGCCAGCCTGTAGGCACACGGGTACGGGCCGGCTCTGGGTGTCCAGGTGCAGTGCAGACAGCCTGTAGGCACACGGGTACGGGCTGGCTCCGGGTGTCCAAGTGCAGTGTAGACAGCCTGTAGGCCCACGGATACGGGCCGGCTCCGGGTGTCCAGGTGCAGTGCAGCCAGCCTGTAGGCACACGGGTACGGGCCGGCTCTGGGTGTCCAGGTGCAGTGCAGACAGCCTGTAGGCACACGGGTACGGGCTGGCTCCGGGTGTCCAAGTGCAGTGTAGACAGCCTGTAGGCCCACGGATACGGGCCGGCTCCGGGTGTCCAGGTGCAGTGCAGCCAGCCTGTAGGCACACGGGTACGGGCCGGCTCTGGGTGTCCAGGTGCAGTGCAGACAGCCTGTAGGCACACGGGTACGGGCTGGCTCCGGGTGTCCAAGTGCAGTGTAGACAGCCTGTAGGCCCACGGATACGGGCCGGCTCCGGGTGTCCAGGTGCAGTGCAGCCAGCCTGTAGGCACACGGGTACGGGCCGGCTCTGGGTGTCCAGGTGCAGTGCAGACAGCCTGTAGGCACACGGGTACGGGCTGGCTCCGGGTGTCCAAGTGCAGTGTAGACAGCCTGTAGGCCCACGGATACGGGCCGGCTCCGGGTGTCCAGGTGCAGTGCAGCCAGCCTGTAGGCACACGGGTACGGGCCGGCTCTGGGTGTCCAGGTGCAGTGCAGACAGCCTGTAGGCACACGGGTACGGGCTGGCTCCGGGTGTCCAAGTGCAGTGTAGACAGCCTGTAGGCCCACGGATACGGGCCGGCTCCGGGTGTCCAGGTGCAGTGCAGCCAGCCTGTAGGCACACGGGTACGGGCCGGCTCTGGGTGTCCAGGTGCAGTGCAGACAGCCTGTAGGCACACGGGTACGGGCTGGCTCCGGGTGTCCAAGTGCAGTGTAGACAGCCTGTAGGCCCACGGATACGGGCCGGCTCCGGGTGTCCAGGTGCAGTGCAGCCAGCCTGTAGGCACACGGGTACGGGCCGGCTCTGGGTGTCCAGGTGCAGTGCAGACAGCCTGTAGGCACACGGGTACGGGCTGGCTCCGGGTGTCCAAGTGCAGTGTAGACAGCCTGTAGGCCCACGGATACGGGCCGGCTCCGGGTGTCCAGGTGCAGTGCAGACAGCCTGTAGGCACACCGACTGAAGGGTTTCTTATTCACTAACTTGTGTAGAGAAGCCCTAACTGCCACACTCATTCAGCAGAGAGCCAGACGCCAGTGGAAAGCTGTGGCTGCTGTTGCAAGTGCACCATGTGCACCCCAATGGCAGCTGCACCGACAGCCAGAAACCCAGCGCCAAGCTCACAGGCAGGGTTAAAAGCCGCTTCGTTTTGAAAGGCAGCAAATGCAAAGTTGAGCTCAGTTGCTGGCCAGCACCCAAGATGCAGACTCGATTTTGTATTGGAATTTGTGTTGCTAACGGCAAATCTAATTTTCAACAACAAATGTCATTAAAAAACCCAGAAAAGTAAGAAACCGTCGACCGACTGGAGGAGCAGGATGTGACCATTTCGCTAATGTTAGATTGGCATGTGGGCTGGACCCCCGGGGAAACACTTTGGCTCTTCATGATCAAGTGCTTTGTTTTGGTACTATTTAGTATTTACACACGCGATGGGGCCCCCCTTCCTCTCTCCATGAAAGTAAATTGTGGAGTTTGGTGATTTCTTGTCACCTCGGTTTCTTTGAACTGATGCCTTGTGAATGGCCGGAGAAGAAGGGAAATCGAGGTGTGGAAAGTGCTAACAGCTCCCTGAGTGGTATCCTTCCTGTCTTAGGAATCTAGCTATTGATTTTGATGTTTATCTGCTTAGGTTTAAGTGCCCATTCTCCAGATAAAACAAAATGTAGGACAATGTAGCACTTTAAAGACTAACAAGATGGTTTATTAGGTGATGAGCTTTCGTGGGCCAGACCCACTTCCTCAGATCAAATAGTGGAAGAAAATAGTCACAACCATATATATCAAAGGATACAATTAAAAAAATGAACACACATGAAAAGGACAAATCACATTTCAGAACAGAAGGGGGATGGAAGGAGGGGGGGGGGGAGGTAAATGTCTGTGAGCTAATGGTATTAGAGGTGATAATTGGGGAAGCTATCTTTGTAATGGGAAAGATAGCTAGAGTCTTTGTTCAGCCCCCTGCGCAGAGTGTCGAATTTTAGCATGAATGACAGTTCAGAGGATTCCCTTTCAAGTGCAGATTTAAAAGGCTTCTGAAGCAGGATGCAGGTAATGAAGTCGTTGAGACAGTGTCCTTTCTGGTTGAAATGGCAAGAAACTGATACTTCCTGATGCTCTGTCTCCCACCCCCTCCCTTTTTCTTTCTCTCCCCTCTCCTCTTCCCCTCTCGAGTGTTCATATCCCCAGCTCATAACTCTGGTTATCTGTGCCCATGAAAGCTCATGATCCCATCTCCATGTTCTGTTAGTCTAGAAAATGCTCCCAGACCATTGGTTGGTTTTTTCTGTAACAGACGAACTCAGCTACCTCCTGAAGCTCTTGGGTTTATTAAGACAGGGTGTGGTAAATCCAAATCCCTAGTTTCCTTCTTGCCTCAAGAAACAATCTTTCTGTACAGCTTTCGGGGTGAGGCGGCAGACGCCTCGAGTCCTCTGAGACCAGAACGTGACCCAGGAATTGATCTGTTCTCTCTCCCTGTTCCTTGTTCCTTGTAGGTCTTTGGCGGCCTTGTCTGGATTCTGGTGGCCTCGACCCGTGTAGCTTCTGCAATGATCCAAGGCTGGGTGATGTTTGTCTCCGTGTTCTGCTTCACTCTGTCAACGCTCCTCATGTGCCTCTATTTCTGCGGTGCGCACGGTGGGAAATCGTCTTGGCTCGCAGTGGTAAGCTGGCCTGTGTCTGTGGGGCTCGCGGAGCATGGGCCGAGCCCGGGGCCCTGAGCCACACAACACTTTGGCATGTGCTTGAATCAGTGGGGTGTTCACCGGTGCCAGGTGACGTTAGGCGCGTGTGCTAGGGGGATGGGCCTCTCGCTGTGCCCCGGCAGGACTATCGGACGCTGCTCTCTGGCCTCGGAACCCAGAATAAGCTGCCTCCATTGCCGCTGGCTCAGGCAGCCCAGCTGCTGTGCACGTTGCGCCCGTTCAGACAAGCAATTGTTCCCCCTTGCTGCTGAGCGATGCTGAGTCACCACAGCCCCTCCTGGGCAGCCCTCCCTCCCCCCTGCCTCCCCAAAGCCCTGCATCTCCGGCAGCCAGCGATGGGCTGGGGCTCCGCATGCAGGCACAGGCTGGCTGTTGGCAGGGGACTTGGAAGATCAGAGCTGCAGCTGGTTGGGAATTTTCTGTCAAAATAACATTGACAGAACACACAGTTGCTGAAAACACACTTTTCTACAGGGTGATGTTACATTTGTAGAAGTTTTCCAATTTTCTGTCAGGAAAATAGAAACAAAATATTTTGTTTGGGGTCAATTCACCACGAATCGGTGTTTCCCAATGGGCTGGCATTGCCCCGCCTGTTGCAGCACCGTCTGGCTTCTGACTGACCCACACGGTTGATCTGCTCTTTCCAGAGTTCCTTCTGTTCTCGCCGGCTTGAGCGGCGTTCCTGGAAGCAATTGCTAACTGGTCTTGCTATTATTCCTAGGATGCCTTCTACCATTCAATGGCTGCTCTGTTTTACCTGAGTGCTGCGGTTTTACAAGCCTTTGCCACCATCCAGGCCAAAGACACGTTCTCATTTAAAATTTACCAGGAAGATATCTCAGCAGTGGTGAGTATCCAGTAGCTTTCACCCCATCAGACGTGCCAGGGCGGGAGGGGACAAAACGTGCCAGGGGTGAAAGCTGCAGGGCCTGGGGGCAGCCTCAGACCCAGCACCTCCACGAGGCGGGAGGGGACTAGCCCTTCTCTGCCGCGCTGTGATAATGGGCCGTGTTAGCTGCTTAATCCATCCCCATCTCTGGCGGGGGTTGGGGCCACTCAGGAGCCCTTCCTTGCCTCACACGCCCACTGGTTTCAACAGCTTTCGAATACAGCGCTGCTGAGGGCTACGCTCTAGTGACCCTCTTCCCGTAGCCCAGCCGGGGCTTCGGCCCGGACCCCGCTGAGCACAGGAGAAGCCAGTGAAGATCTGTACTTGAGGCAACTTGTCCTTTAACCACAGAATGGAGGGAAAGTGGCAGCCATCTTAACTGAGGGCCAACGGGGGCTTCAGTCCCATTGAAAGAAATGGCAGATGGCAGCCATTTTGGGAAAGGGTAAAAGTTGGAGAGACTCCACCAGAGCCTGAGCTACCACCTACTGTGAGACACTCACAAACAATATCGTGAGGCTCTGGGTAACATTTGCAAAAGCACCTAAGTGACGCAAGAACTTGACCCATTTTCAAAAGTGACTTTTGCGCTTCAGAGCCCAAGTGACTTTTAGTGGCTCTTAGGCGTCTAAATCACTTAAGTGACTTTAGCAACCCTGGCACGGAGCCCTGGCGTTTGGGCTCCAAGCCCTGTGCCGGTTAGTATGAATCCTGCTGGCCGGGCAAACACAAACCACAACATGCACGTCCCGTCTACGCACACAGCCCCTTAGCGGCTAACTCCAGCCGTGTGTCCATTGTAGGTATTCGCGTTTGCAGCCACCTTGACGTACGTGATCCACAAAGCGTTCTCTCTGCTGCGATGGAAATCGTCATAAAACCTCCAGCGCGGCCCCGAAGGAATCCAGTTCGAGCATCCTCCCCCGTTACTAGCTCAGCAGCATGCGCCGTTGCCCAATGACTCGTTGTACACTGGTATGCACTGGTGTGCAGACTCCCCTACACTGCTTGGTACGTGGTGCCATGACGAAGATGACAAAATCAGCCTGGAGACGCCTATTTTTCAGCAAACCGGTTTCTTTTCGGTGTCTTGAAAGTCAGACTCAGGTCTGTGGTGGGGATCCGCTTTGCTGATCGGCTTTGTCCCCGCTCCCCGGGCCTGGGCCAGCTGCTGGCATGAACCAAGGGCCTTTCTCAGCCCCTGCCAGGGAAGGAGGCCTCGAGCTTGGGTGGAACTTTGGTTTCCCAACAGTTCAGCCTCCGGAGGCCTGAGCACTGTGGGGTGCGTCTACATGGCGCCATTCCTTCGAAATAACAGTGCGAGCGTCTCCACGGCCATTTCGAAATAACCGACGGCTTAGTCCGAAATCTGTAAACCTCATTCTACGAGGAATAGCCCCTATTCCGAACTAGGTATTTCGAAATAAGGCGTGTGGAGACGCTCCACTGCTGCTATTTCGAAATAGCCCCCACCAGGGCCTTTCTAAGTTAGCCTTCCCCAGTGCCTCCTGGGGCTCTAACTCGAGATAGCACGTCCACATCAGGAAAACCTGCCTCGGACTCATTTTGAGGCTTCCCTGCAGTGTAGATGTGCTATTTCGACATAAGCTATTGCAGACTAAATGTTCTGGAACAACTTAGTTCGAAATAAGCGTGCAGTGTAGACGTACCCTGAGTCTAACTAAAGTCTTTGGGCTTAATGTCAGGGCATCGGGTGCAAGTTAATTGGCCTGTGAAATTCAGGGGGCTCAGAGCAGGTGATTTTGGTCTATTCTGGCCTCAAACTAGATGTGCTATTTCGACATAAGCTATTGCAGACTAAATGTTCTGGAACAACTTAGTTCGAAATAAGCGTGCAGTGTAGACGTACCCTGAGTCTAACTAAAGTCTTTGGGCTTAATGTCAGGGCATCGGGTGCAAGTTAATTGGCCTGTGAAATTCAGGGGGCTCAGAGCAGGTGATTTTGGTCTATTCTGGCCTCAAACGCTCTGATCACACAAGCCACGTGCAGAGGCGCTGCAATGGCCGGGCTCCTGCATTCAGCTCCATGCAGACCGCGCTGGCTCAGCCCCGCTGCGGGGATCTGCCTGCCGGATGGGGCCACATTCTGCCGCAGGCGTCAGGCAAGGGGGGCGTCAGGCGGCTCTTGTTTGCCTCATGTTTGTGGCGCTGGGCGCGAGAGAGAAGCAGCAGCTGACGGGCGCTGGGCACCGCGCTGAGCAGAATTCTTTAGCCTGCATCAGCCGCGACAGGGTCCCTCTGCTGCTGTCTGGCCGGGTGCACGGACGTGTGTTCTGTGCCCCGCTCTGGCAGCGGCGTAGCACGTAACACAAGTCATTCCACACTCGGGCAGTGTGTGACGGGGGGGCAAGGGGTGAGGATGAGGGCTCTAAATGGGGGTGTCTGGGTATGGGAGGGGCTGAGGGCTCCAGCGGGGGGTGGGGGCTCTGGAGTGGGCTGGGGATGTGGGGTGGGGGGTACAGCAGGGGTGCAAGGCTGGGCATGGAGCCAAGGGATTTGGATACAGGAGAGGGCTGTGGGGTGAGGCAGGGGTTGGCGTGTAGGAGGGGATGTGGGCCTGGAAGAGGGGGCTTGGTTTGGGGAGGGGCTGGGGTGCAGGCGGGGTACAGTCTTTGGCTGGAGGGGCACCATTCTGGTCTAGGACCAGGGGTGCAGGGTTTGGGGTGCAGGAGGTGGCTGTGGACTGGGGGGCGCAGGGTTATCTGGCGGCTCCCGGTGAGCGGTGCTCAGAGATGCTGGTTAGCGGGAACTGAGGGTCACAAAGGACTACGCGCTGCTCCAGCACCGGGAAGCCAATAGGCCAATGGCCACGGACCCCAGAGGAAGCCGGTTCTAAGTACGCAGACGCCTGCTCCTCTGAAAGCCACCTGCCATGTTTTCCGGCTTTGCTGCCCAGTGTCAGACACCCAGACCGTACTCGGGCACCTGAATTTGAATATTTTAACCCGATTTTCTCGTCTTGACCCGGACGGCAACAGCCCCAGAACAAGACACACTCCTCTGCGATGTACTCACCTCAGGGCGTCTGCGGAACAGCCGGATCCGCTAACTGTCTTGTGACAGAAAAGTAGTCCTGGCCCTCGCTGTAAACGGTCCCGTCTCCAAGCGGCAAGAAACAGGAACCACGCTGCTTTCCTTGGGGGGGAGGGGGAATTTGTGCAGCCGCTAAGGGTATTCTTGGACTAAGCGTAATTCTTGGGTGTATAATTTGCTCTTGTCTTGCTCAGCAGGGGAAGATGACCAGCGTGCTGTGTAGTGTGTAGGCTACTTTTAAACTAATGATCACCACAACTGGGTGCTAAATCACTCTGGGTACGTCTACACTACAGCGCTAGTTCGAACTAACTTAGTTCGAATTAGTTAATTCGAACTAAGCTAGTTCGAACTAACGCATCTAGAACTAAAAACTAGTTCGAACTAGCGTTTTGCTAGTTCGAACTAGTAAGTCCACATTGAGTGGACTCTGAACAGGGCTTAAGGATGGCCGGAAGCAGTGCCGGCAGGGCATAAAAGGAGGACTTAGAGCATGGAGATACTGTCTCAGGCTAGCCGAGGGCTGCGCTTAAAGGGTCCCGACCCCCACCCCGGACACACAGTTCTAAGGGGTGCCCCGCTTGCAAAGAAGTTCTGGCTTGGAGTGCCCTGAGTGCCCACACTGGGCACATCACACCACTCGGCCATCAGCCCGGCTGCACTTGCCGCAGGCTGCCATCTGGGGAGAGGGAGTAATTGGGGGGCTGCAGGAGAGCTTCCACCCCCAGAAGCCCGCAGAGCCAGCCCAGTCCTCCCCATCGGGGGCTCGTACCCCATTCCTCCCTCACCTCCTTCCACTTGCCCTTCCCTAGCCCCCCTTCTTCTTGATGTACAAAATAAAGATAACGTTTCTTCCAACATTGACTCTGTCTTTATTGAAAAAAACTGGGGGAGACTGGGAAAAGGAGGTGGGAGAGGGGAAGAGAAAGGCTGGGAGAGGGGAGGGCAACTAACATGATCAGGGGTTGGGAACAGGTCCCAGATGAAGAGAGGCTACAGAGACTGGGACTGTTCAGCTTAGAAAAGAGGAGACGGAGGGGGGACAGGATAGAGGTCTCTAAAAGCAGGGGTTGGGTGGAGAGGGTGCATTCAGAAAAGTTCTTCCTGAGTTCCCATAAAGAAGGACTAGAGGACACCAAAGGAAAGGAATGGGTAGCAGGCTTGAAACTAGTAAGAGAAAGTTGTTCTTGACAAAGCAAATAGTTAACCTGTGGAACTCCTTGCTGCAGGAGGCTGTGAAGGCTACAACTAGAACAGAGTTTAAAGGGAAGTGAGATCAAGTCATGGAGGTTGGGTCCATGGAGTCCTATTAGCCAGAGGGTAGGAGTGGTGTCCCTGCCCAAAGTTTGTGGAAGGCTGGAGAGGGATGGCACGAGACAAATGGCTTGATCACTGTCTTCGGTCCATCCCCTCCAGGGTCCCTAGGGTTGGCCGCTGTTGGCAGACAGGCTACTGGGCTAGATGGACCTTTGGTCTGACCCAGTACGGCCATTGTAAGCTCAGGGCTCAGGGTCGGGGGTCTCAGTGGACCCCCTTGATTTTCATGCACACCTGGTCCTGGGTGGCCAGGCTGGCAGCTCTCCTGCCCTAGACGGCCACTTTCCTGTGCCTAGTGCAGAGATCGTGGACAAATCACTCTCAGACAAATGGTTTGGTTTGTTCAGTAGGAAGATTTCAATTATTTTTCAATGTACAAATCCTGCTAATAAAACGAATAATAAAACGAGTTTGCCCGGGGTTTTCCAAACCCGTTTGCCTCTGTCGTCTCCATGGCCCGTGCAGAGACTTGCAGGCGAGTCCCCGGGAGCCGGTAGCGTGACCTCGGCGGCGCTCCCCCTGGGGACGCTTCCAAAGGGGACTTGGACTCGGTTTCGAACGTGACTTGGCCACGCGGGGCGCGGCTGCCCAGCCCACGGCAGAGCCACTCAGAGCCCAGCTGCACTCGCTTGGGCTGCACTGAACCTAGCTGTGCAGGCGCTGGGGCCCGGTGCTGAACCCCCCCCCCGGGGCGGCAGGATCTTTGAGGCTTGCAGCTCACACAGGCCGGCACGCAGGGGCGGCGCCCGGCTGCACAGGGGTGCGCTGAGACGCCTACGCCTGACAGGAAGTGGGAGTTGGCGCCTAAGGACGAGATTCTCACGGGGGCCTTAGGTGCCTTTTCGGGGCTCTGCTGCCGAGGGGAGGGCTCGTCCCTGAGTGAGGGGCCCGGGGCTCCGTACCGGAGAGCTAGGTGCCCAGAAAGGCCGAGCTACCCCTGGGAAACGCGGCGGGAAGGGGCAAGGCCTCCAAGTTAGGCCCAAATTTCAGGTGGCAGAAGACACCCCCCCTTCTGGAGGCTTGATCATGATCCCCCGGAGCTAGGCGCCCAAGCAGCTGCCCCTCCCCTAGTGCTCACTGGGCAGTGGGGGGGCGCACACGGGAGTTCGCAGCTTCCCTCTGCCTGAGTTGGCGCAGCGCCTGGAGCAGGGTGTAACCGCGGTCCCTTGCACGGCCCAGGGCCCGGGTACGTTCAGCCAGGGCAGCCTCCTCGCAGGAGCGCGGCACCATGCACGGTGAGGGGGGGCTGCTCCCTCCAGCAGCCCTGCAGCCCCCAGACCTCTACGGCAGGACC